CTAAAAAAAAAAGTCACGTAGCCCCCCCCTCACCCACCATCGTGCCCCCCTCCACCACAAACGTAGTCAATCAGCTAAGTTTGGTATATAAATATAGTATAGTATATAAATACTATATACAGCATAGACTTTGCCCGAACACGATGATCTATTCAAACGTACAATGTGATAAATAACAAGATTTCTAAAATCACAGTGTCTGTGTGGCTTTAGAGAACATTCAGCTACAGCTCAGCCAGCCAATCAAAAGACTTCAGATGGAAAACGGGAAGTGGAGCTCCTTGGATGTGAGTCCTGCTGAAAGAGACAGATAAGGATCAAAACTATGAAATCTACTTTACCTACAGCTGTACAGAAGAGCTTTTCTAAACAATGCTAATGTAGCATATTAGCATCATGCATGCACTGAGTTCTTAATGATATCTGGTGCTTTAAGCTCTGCTAATGTACTTTGGTCCACGTTTATAGTTAAGAGACATACAGAGTCAGAAAGCACATAATCAAGACTATTAGATACTGAACAGCTTCACACAGTTTAAGGCGAGTGGGCATGCCTGTGCTGAAACCACGGTGTGAAACACAGGGGATCCTGGACCCCCAAATAAACCTCTGGGACCCTCTGAATGTCTCAATCAAAATTTTGGGGTAGGGGGGGGTCTCTGAAAAACTTATGTTATATTTGCCAACAGGGTAAAACAGAAGCTCAAATCCAAATTCAGTGACACTCACTGTTTATCTGCTTCACCCACAATCAGCTTCTGTCTTTGGTGTTCTTAACTAACTAGAGCTGCAGCCCTGCCCTGCCTCAGGGTGGCGCTGTAGCGGACTGGTTCACCCAGTTGGTCCTTCATAGCCTAGAAACTGTAACTCTGCCTGGATTCCTCTGAAAACCTTTACAATGAGCTGCAGCAGATCTGTAAATCTGAAAACTCGCCCAGTTTCCCAAGAGTTTGGAGTGAAGAGTGACTGTTCCTCATTTCCCACACTGAAGACAGAAGAGGAGACGAGGAAGATCTCAGTTAATGTGAGGAAGAGCGCAGAACCGCACTAGAACAGAGACTTTACAGAAGAATAGCTGATAAACCAGTCGGCACCACTATGGGGAGTGAGCCAGCTAACATGGAACCCCCCCCCCAAATACCAGGGGTTATTTTGAATGCTGTCTAAAACTATTAAAAAAAAAAACTTAAACCTAAGTAGTGTCAGACACCAAACATGTCTTGGATGATCGACTACATTTAGGGTCCAAGACCACCCTTTTATTTATTTAATTCCCAATCAGAACCAATCAAGTCCACTGTTAGCATCAGCAGAAACACTCTCAGCTGTGTGAGTCAGTGAGTCACTGTTTACCTTCATTCCAGCTTCCATTCTTTTCAGGAGACTCACTTTCAGTTCCTCAAAGAATCTGCAGACACACCTCCAAAGTTCAGTCTTAGAAGCTGGTTGAGCATTTTCTGAAGTAACCAAACACATTCAGTGGCTGAGGTCTGGACTCTGGGGTGGTCAGTCCATCGTTCAGCTTCTTTGTTTGATGTGTCCGTCTCCTTTTCTCAGTGAGGTTCTTCTTGATCAGCTACACATCCTTTCAGACCCACAGCGCTGAGTCGTCTTCTCACAGTGGAAGGATGGACAGAAACACCTGTGGATGTTTTCAGATCTGAAGCAGCTTGATTTTCTCCTCTCTCTCAGAGATGAAAGCTTTAAGTGCTGTTTATCTGATGGGGGCAGTTTTGGGGTCTACCAGGTCTTCCAGGTGGTTGTTAGGAGCCACATTTTCTCTGTAGCTTTTAATCAGTTTTCAAACTCCAGTTTTGTAAACTTCTGGTGTTTTTATCACTTTGACTTTCTCCTTTTTTATGCAAGGGGATCATCTTATATCGAATCTCCTCACAAACATCTCCTGAAAAATGAATATCTTCTATCTACTGGTTGTTTTGGCTGTACAGTGTCCAGTCAAACGATCGCTTTAATTCCATATATAGCTATAGAGCTGTATGTGGCCTGATAGCGGGTATTAAATATGAACGAAGCTGCGGCCGTGTTCTTTATATAGAGACGTGATTTGCTTTCCCACCACACCCACCACTCCCACTCACACACCTTGTCATGTCTGCACGCTCGTGTGCGAGTGTGTTGGATAGTGTCCACTCCATTAAAATAGATAAATATAGATATTTAGTGGGAAGAAAGTGAAACAGAATGGGGAAATGCTCTTAGGCAGGGGTCTGTGTGTGTGTGTGTGTGTGTCCACTGCTGAGACCAAGTTACATAAAAGTGCCATTAAAAAAGGCTCTTCTTCACAAAGCACTTCTCTTCCTGTGCTTTTCTTACTCGCTCGCTCAGTATTCTCTCTCTCTCTCACACACACACATACTCCCTCACTCCCCCTTTTTCATCCTGCTGTACCTCTGAAAGGGGTTGCATTCATGTTTCATTATCAAGAACCAAAAATATAAGCAGTTATGACTGGGCGATATGTCAGAAACATTGTTTATCACAATATAAAATGAAGTGCTGAATAACAATGTTTGATTTTTAAGTTCTCCACAGATTTTTGTGAAGAACGAAGCATATTTAACGTTTGCTTCGTGTCTTAATGTTCCTGGCCGCTCTTGGTGTGATATCTGTTTTTAGTCTTTCTCATTGTGTTTAATCCAGGGTGGGCAGACGTCCCCGTTTTTGTTGTCCTGTCCCAGGAAATGTGAATTAAAAATACACAAAGTCCTAAGAAAGACCTGCAGCAGAGCAGATGGGCAAATGTTTAGCATTGTGCTAGTTTTGGCCAGCAGAGGGGGCTGCTGCTATCTACTGACCACTTCTACCACTTTCTCGCCTAGTTTTACAGAACACTGCTGCCTAAAACTCCACAAACAGTGTCCAGTGAGTCCACAACATAACCACAAATGTCTTTTCAAGGCTCGAGGTGACACAGGTCTCTTCTGTAGCCACACGTCTCTATATGAATATGAACTATGGGCTGAATAGTTTGTGGTAGATGTATCTCTGCCTCATTCCTGCCCGAGCCGCTAGACTTAGTGACGTTTGAGGCCCTTTTTACTTAAAATCTTTTATAGGACTATTGTAATTTATTCCCATGCATGCTGATCATTTTCTTTGCATGTTCCATAGATTAGCACAGCTTCACGCACCACATGATTGTCACAATCTACAAAGTTACTTTGTTAGCACCCAGTTTTATCAGTTGGCCTTCGCAATAGTCTATTACAGTACAACAGTTATCATGGTCAAAATACAGTAAACAGAAACTCTCAGCAGTTCCCTCAGCACCGAACTCAGTATCAACTCAAGAAACTTCTTCATTTTTGGTAAACCTCTTGGTCACTCTTGGCACGATATCTATTCTTGGTTTTTAAAGCTGCATTTACTTGTATTGACAAATTCACCATCCAAAAGAAATCATTCCATAATTCCAAAAATGGTTTGCATTGTAATAAAAATGTACCAACAGATATAAACAAATAAAACCTTTCCTGCATCTACACTGAAGTTCTAAATCTCACAAATGTAAATGGAATCTGAAGTTCTAAAATTTACTGATTCAAAATAAATGTAGATTCTGGAATCTTTAGTTCAAATGAATTTTGAGTTGTAGAATTTAGAGAAACAAATGAAACCTAGAGTTCTAGAAACTGCAGGCCCAAAACAGACCTAGACTTCTAGAAGTTACAGTTCAGAAAAATCTGGAGTTCGAGAATTTACAGAGTGAAAGTGATTCTGGAGATCTTGAAGTTATATAAGCAAAAAACTAATTGATTTGTGATTCCAGAATTTACAGAAACAAAATATATGGAAATATATATATATATACTATACTGGGGTTCAAGAATTTGCAGAAGCAAATCCCGAGTTCATGAATTTGAAGTACTAAAATAAATCTGGAATTCTCGATTTTCCAGAGGAAATCAGAACTGCAACTCTAGAGTTCTAAGAGCCAAACTAATCTGGACTTTGAATTTACAGAACTATAATTGATCTGTATTTATAGAATTTAAAGAAATAAAGAATGTGGAGTTCTCGATTTTACAGAGGAAATCAGAACCGCAGTTCTAAAACTGACAGCCTAAACAAATCAGAGCTCTAGAATTCCACATCAACTAACTCCCGGAAGAAAATCCAGTAAAGCTGAGCGAGGATTTGTTTTCATTTGGCTTGGAAAGAGAAGCTTCTTTCGCACAGTGTCAGCATTGAGCGAGTTTGGGAACAGATTTACATGCTGATCTGGAACCAGCACAATTAAGCCTTGGGCAGAAAAGACTTTAAGATTGACACTCGGCTCACTAATCCTGCTCCCGCCTGGATAGCCGGTCAGCTAGAGAGTGAAAGATTGGCAGTTTGGAAGGGTGAAAGGTTCAGTTGAGTTCAGTTCATCCTAATTTGCTCCACATCCTAACATTTAATTAGACCACAATACCTTCCTTAGCGATCCAAGCCGGAGAGTATTTTATGCGGGAATCAACAGCATCTATTTCTAAGTCCTTCCCTCTACTTTACACTTACTTACTGGAAGATCAACCCAGTACATGGGATTATAATACGCTCAAAAGATAAAAGTAGTATGGAACTACACATCTCAGCTATGTCTCATGCTAAACTGATCTGATACTGGTCTAGAAACTGTTCAGCTTCCCTAACAACCACCTGGGAAACTGACTACCGAATGTCTAATAAAGTCTAATGTTTTAGGATCACATAAAACATTTTAAACATGATGTTGGTACCTTTCTTGTTTAAAACGTTCCTTGAATTCCTACTTTGCCATTGATCAACAGAAAAGATCACCTGCAGTTAGATTCCAGTGCCAGAAGGGGGCGTGACCAAGCCGGTATGGAAGCGAAGCATTTTGCATCGGCGGAAAAATTAAAGAATAAACCACAAAAAAACACGTCACGTCAACGGCAAAGCTTTAGCATGTGCAGCGGGAAGCAGCGGGATGCTTTCGCCGGAAAACGAGAAGACGGAGAGGTGGAATGACGCACCTTTGCCGGGGCGTTTGTGCAGCGAGGGACGACGACGGGGTTGATGTAAAAAAGCTGCTGCTTGGTCGGAGCCTGGGTGGAGCTGGGGTCCACCTTAGAGAAACGACAACATCCGAGCACACAAGAAACGGGTCTTTCAGACGAGGGCGTGACACTGGGGCGCCATTAGGGGGCGGCAACAATCATGAAAGGTGGGAGGGTAAAACTAAAGAATGCATGTGTTTGATGGATGTCGTAGATACACTAGCTAGCGCTGGAGACACTACAGGCTAGTACACCCTGGATCAAATGGTTCCCAATCCAGTCCACAGTTTATACCTCTCACACACCTGAACCAGGTGGTCAGTGTTCTACAGCTCATGGGTACCTGATTCAGGCGTGTTTGGAGCCAGGATAGAACCTCAGATCTAGCAAAGCAGTCTGGTAATGCTATCTTGTTAGCTTGATCCTTCTCTATATATAAAACCTTCTTGGAAAATTGACAAAAGATCTTTAGACCAGCGAACTCCCACACACCTGAACTGTATGGTCAGACTTCTACAGTCCTTGGTCACCAGGATCAGGTGTGTTGGGTCCAGAACAGAACGAAATTGTGGACAGGACAAACATCTTCAAAGATTGGATTGGGAACGTCAGATGCAACTGTAATACACTGCCCATATTCCCACACATGTTGGCATGCTTGCTTTATGAAAGGGGAATTCCACCAGATCTACCAAAAATTCTGCATAATTCAATCGACAATTTCTTTACAGTGGTGGTGATAGGAACCAGGTGTCACCATGACTACAACGCAAACATAGCCATCTTATTTACTATCCAGAACCACCAGTGAACCTACACATCTGAGTTTATATGGAATGTTGAAGATGGAAAATAGTGGAATAGTGGTTTTCTCTGGGGACTATTTTGCCTCATAACACCCTGCATGTACCCAAAAATAGACGATTTAGGCAAAAACTATCATAAAACAGCGTCTCAGTCAGAATTCATAACCATTACAAGTAGTAACTTTCTGTGAGGGAGCTTTTAGAGGTGGACGTCTGGTTCCTATCACCACCACTGTGAACAGTTCTGACCCGGTAAGTTTCTCTAGAATGGAGCGTTTCACACCAAACCACTGTAAATGACTTCGTTTTCCTCTCAACCAATTAATTATGCAGAAATTTTCTATATTGGATGGAATTCCCCTTTAAGCATACTAATAAGTACCTACATGGAAAAACTTGCTCGGAAAGTTTTCCAAGCTGACTTGACAACAAGCACCATCCAGTCCACATTCTGCTCCATCATTCAGTTCAGTTCAGATTATTCTACGTACACATATTTGTACATTAGTGCACCTGAGTCAGGTAAGCAGGGGGTGTAGAGCACCGAGTACCTGCCTCAGGTGTGTCGACAGCTGTAATAGGACAAAATAATGGACTGGCTGGACGATCTCAAGGGACAGATAATGAGTCTCGACTCTGAGCAGACAGCCCTAAGGACCGTGACTACAGGTGTGTAAGCAGGTGTGAAACAGGTGGGCGCGCTCACCCTGACGAAGCTTGCGGGGAACCAGCCCTCCTCATCGTCAATCTGGCCCCACCACCAGTCCCTGTTGGATGCGTCCAAGACCTTGATGACATCACCGGCCTTGAAGGCCAGCTCGCGGTCCGCCATGGTCACATGATCCCATACCGCCTCTGCATTGACGACAGAGCCTCCACTCACCAACTGGGGGGAGAGAGAGAGAGAGAGAGAGAAAGAGAGAGAGAGAGAGTATTACTAATAGAGATGGGCAGTGTGTTAAATCACACACACATCTAAAACACAAAGAAACATAAATCGACCTAAAACACAGACAATAATTATAAAAATCGGCCTCAACATAAATATTAGTCACTAAATTGGTCTAAAACACACAAATAAAATCACCAAATCAGCCTAAAACAAACAAGATAATTACTAAAATCAGCCCTTAAACACGAGTCACTAAATTGGTCAAAATAAAGATAAACAACTAAATCAACCTAAAAACATAGACAAATCTCTAAATCAGCCTAAAGCACTGACAGTAATTACTAAAACCAGCCTCAGACACAAAAATTAGTTACTAAATTGGCCTAAAAGACAAAGATAAATCATTAAATCAGCCTAAAACGCGAAGATAAAAATCACTAAATCGGCGTAAAACACACAATAACTACTAAAATCAACCTCAAACACAAACTTAAGTCACTAAATTGGCCTAAAACACAAAAAATAAAACATTAAATCAACTACAAACACAGATAAATCACTACATTAACCAGCCATCAGATACAGAGCATTTCTTATCCAAACTGAATAAATAATTATAAATGAATGCTAAACCTTCCATGTGTTATTTTTTTATTCATAATTTTTCTTTTGTTTCTACCTCGTATATTTGAATAGTGCTCGTTTAAAAACGTGGATGCTGGAACAGCAGAAACGTTCGGAATGGCTCTAAAGCTCCTCACTGAAGGAATAAACAGTCACAGCTCTGGTGTTCATGAAGGCCGGATTGTCTGAAAAGCCAAAAGCAGCTCAAATCTGAAGAGCCTGATGCTCCTCCATTCAGTCTGGACCCGACACTCATCTGACACACACACACACACACTGCGGCCTGATGTCCTCTCCTGCGTTCGGGCCAAGTGCAGTCCGGAGCGCCAAGCCCAGCCGGAGAATGTGGATCACAGTGAGCCGTATGGAATTTTCTGGGTCATGTTACAAAGGAAACGCACACTGGCCCTCCTGCCCACTCTGTGCGGTCCACTCTGATCGTAAAACGAGCGCATGCATTTTTTTGAGGTCCACTTTGTGTTTTAGCTTTTACAAAAATACTCATCATTCTTTTTAAAGGTCCCACATTGTGGAAAAGCTCACTTTCCTCACTACAGTGGAGTGTTGACAGTATTAAATGTTTAAAATGCCTGATAATCCGTTAATAATCTGACTAATAGCTTAGTCGGAATAAATTACCTCCACATATACACCTCGCCTGATTGAGGCTGTTCTGAATACAATTTCTGTCTGAGTGAACGAGGTGGGTAATCCTGTACATAATCTGTTAAATTGGTAGAATAATAGCCTGTTAACATCTGTATCTGATTACATTCCCAATCGGAAAATTGATACTATCAAGTGAGCACCAGATACTATGTGGTGAGCACTTGATACTATCAAGTGAGCACCTCATACTATGTGATGAGCACCTGATACTATTTGGCGAGCACCAGATACTATCAGGAGAGCATTCGACACTATCAAGTGAGCACGAGAGCACCAGATACTATGTGGTGAGCACTTGATACTATCAAGTTAGCACCTAATACTATGTGATGAGCACCCAATACTAATAGGAAAAAAAAAGATAAAGAAATGCACAAAAGATATTTTACATTTAAAGTTGTTAATCACGGTTCTTATTACTGGTTAAATAACAGTAAATATAAAATGTATACAGTAAATAAACAAAAATAAGTTTTCTTAAGCATCTAATAAATAAGTAAAAAAGTATATAATACAAGTAATAATATAATAAGTAAATGGCACCTAGGGCGTTTTGTGATGCAGAACATAGATTTGACCAAAATAAAACATTTTAAAGATAATTGTATAAATATCAGGACTTATATGTGAGTCAGGTTAGATAGAGTTAGTATCGTATCGGTACTCCGTGTCGGCCGATACTAAAGGATCAGATATCGGTGTCAGAAGGAAAAAGTGGCATCACTGCATCTCCCAGTGAAGACCCACAGATTTGCTAGCGTTTACCCATCGATGCTCATGTTGCAAATGAGGCGATCGTAACTGCTGTGAATAATGAATCATAAAATGATTTTTGGACTCAGACCCTTTAAGTCCCACTTGTTTAGTGGAGTCTTCGGTAATTCGTTTTCCCTGTTAGATAAAAGGTGCAGATCTGGGGGTTCATGGTCATAGAGTATTATGGTAATCTCGGAGTGCTGGTGCTGTCGACCCGCTGCTCTCACTCACTCGGGTTTGTTGACGGTGGAGCGGAGGGGCGCCGACATCTCAGGGAGCCTCGTGTCTCTGTTACCTTTCTGGATTCTCCCTCTTAGTTAGGCTGTAATATCTAGACCTGCCGGAGTCTCTGCTGCTCTCTGTTAACCCTGTGAACTTAGTCTGTATTAACAGAACTAACCGCCTTGTGTCCCTGAGTTGAACAGCTGCCCATCCTGTGTGTCTGACGCTGTTGCTTTATCTGCCCTGTTCGGGTGCCCACTGCTCGCCAGCCTTCTGGACCGGCTTGACCACCATGGAGCTTCCTGCTGTACAACGCTCCCTAAACCTCATCTGCATGAACTGACCCTCCTAACGATGCTCCATTTTTAATCATAGACGTTGCTCCTCCTGCTTTTCCCCTTTTCCGTATCTTACACTGATGGTCAAATCTTAATCTCTGCTGTCATTGTTTGCTGTCTGGTGTCAACCAGAGGACGATGGTGTTCCTCTTTTGAGTCTTGGTTCCTCTCGGTTCCTGTCAAGGTTTCTTCCTCTTGCTCTTAGGGAGCTTTTCCTTGCCACTGTCGCCACTGGCGACGCTCATGGGGGCTCGGACCCAGATTTTCCTGTAAAGCTGCTTTGTGACAACACCTGTTGTAAAAAGCACCATGTACAGCACTACACACATGTACGCTGCTGTGTCCGATTCACTCGTACCAGCGCAACACACACTAACACACCACCACCACATCAGTGTTACTGCACCTATATAGTAAGTGGAGCTGATAAAATGGACAATGAGCGTAGAAACAAGGAGGTGGTCAGAATGTTATGCCTGATCGGTGTATATAAACTTTGACCTGAGCTGCACCGTAAGCCCTTTGTGAATTTAACTGTTAACAGTACTCCAAAGTAAAAGGGGGCACTGTTCCCTACATACGTTGGGCTACAGTTATGATCTTGGCTTCATTTAAAAGAAAACACTCTGAAGTGAGAATAACTGTATGAATTACTGTCACAGAGTCTAGAACGGAGGAGTTTAATTCCTCCTGACTCATAGATCTCTAGACTGATCTCCGACTCTAGCCGTGTTATCAGACCACGTTTTGGATGATGAGCGGCGAGGCTTTGAAGGTGAGGACAAACAAATTTGATAGTGTTTGTTCATTCGGTGCTCATAATGTAATCATAAAATTGTTTTGCGAGAATCGAATCCAGAAATTTCAAGCGTTCTAGCAGTTAATAGCGTCACTGTATTGCTGGAACATATAGAAATGGAAGTGAACACTTCGATGAAAGTGTGCTGGTACCAATACAGCGATCTAGAGGAGTTTAGGTCAGGTGTATAAAGGTACAGAGTACTCAGATTTGCAGGTGTGAACCATTGTTATGAATAACCAGTGGTGGGCGTAGAAGTAAAGCGAGCGTCTCCTCATTTCTAAGCTTCCGCGCTCTCAATAGAGCCTGAAATTGAGAAAAACACGAACACAGATACAGATTCAGGCCCGAGAGGCTGCAAACGTGTTTGTGATGATACAGCGCTGGAGATAAAGGCCTATCAGCTCCCTCATCACTGTTCCTCTTATCAGCGTTAGAGATCCTACAACAGAGTATAGATGCGATAAGGCTGTGTACACGGTAGGCTCCACAGTGTGAGAGAGAGAGAGAGAGAGAGAGAGAGAGACAGAGACAGAGAGAGAGAGAGAGAGACAAGAGAGAGAGAGAGAGAGAGAGAGAGAGAGAAGGATGCACAATATATCTTTAGTTAGTGGTTAAATTGGTGATATTGGCCTTTGTAATACATATATTGCAGAAAGCTGCCATATGCAAATGAGCCTTTTGCCCAATTACAATGGAACTTACACCGATCAGGCATAACATGATGACCACCTCCTTGTTTCTACACTGTGTTATCTCCCCTTTTACCCTGTTCTTCAGTGGTCCCTCCCATGGACCCTCACAGAGCAGGTACTATTTTGGTGGTGGATCATTCTCAGCACTGCAGTAACACTGACGTGGTGGTGGTGTGTTAGTGTGTGTTGCGCTGGCCTGAGTGGATCAGACACAGCAGTGCTGCTGGAGTTTTTAAACACTGTGTCCACTCACTGTCCACTCTATTAGACACTCCTACCTTGTCAGTCCACCTTGTAGATGTAAAGTCAGAGACGATAGCTCATCTGCTGCTGCACAGTTTGTGTTGGTCATCCTCTAGTCCTTCATCAGTGGTCACAGGACGCTGCCCACAGGACGCTGTTAGCTGGATATTTTTGGTTGGTGGACTATTCTCAGTCCAGCAGTGACACTGATGTGTTTAAAAACCCCAGCAGCACTGCTGTGTCTGATCCACTCAGACCAGCACAACACACACTAACACACCACCACTCACGTCAGTGTTACTGCAGTGCTGAGAATGATCCCACCACCCAAATAGCACCTGCTCTGTGAGGGTCCATGGGGGTCCTGAACTGACATTCTAGAACTGAGCAGACAAGCCTAGAAACGTACAAACCCTGGCCTATTTAAAAATCTAGAACTCAAAAGATTATTCAGAAATGTCTGAATAGCATAGGACCGAACCGATAACTAATCCCAGGATTAACAATTCCAGAGCAATCTAGAAACAAAAACGGACGACGATGGAGGTGGACAACAATCTGGAGTCCAACAAAATGTACGACCAGTTTGGCTCTTCTGAACATTCTAGAATCAATCCGACAACTTTGAAATCTTACATGAGAGTCCAG